GTAATGTCAAATGACAGTACAATTGACCAATCATATCTTCCCTCTAAATGGGTGGGTTTTATTATCGTGGACTTTATGACAAGTTCCGCCCGCTGTGAAGCTTTTCTTGTTTCCATAGCAACAACAACTTCCTGTTTCAGAGTAAACTCGCCTTCAAAATAAAAGCATGCCAAATTAGCAGCTAATATATACAACTGCAACGAAAGTAACAAACACAATGCAATATCCTTTTCGATTTCAAAGAACACAAATTGGGTTATTTACAGGTGTTGTTTTGTGTGGTAGAGGGTCGCTTTCATTGATGAGTTTTGCACCCCGGGCCGTTGTTTTTGATATTCCGCTGAAGTATAGCTGTGGCGTAATAACTTTCTTTTTTTTTTTTTCTAGGGAAGGGGTGGGTCAGAGGGCCTAGGTATAAAAGTCACGGCTCGCTACTGGGTCAACGAAATGTATTTTGGTGTCTGCAAAAGTAAGTGACAGTACTTCCACCATTTTTGTAGAATGACTCAGGCCTGTTATACTGAGTGATATATATTATACACACTGCTCTGCTTTCTGCACGGACCTCACAGCTGTTCTCACTGTAAAAATCGCGTTGCAATTAAAGCAGTTACTAAAATAATATCCAGGGGATGCATGCAGAGCTGTCATTGGCTGAGATAAATCCGGCCGTGCATCACAACTCTTTTAAACATCACTGTTGCCGGAAATACATTGGAGGAGGACCCATCAGTGTATCCTCGATTATTATCTCCTCGATGCTCGATCCTCGATGTGCATTTAGATAAATGAGATGTGCTTCAACATGGCGCCCTGAAATCTATTTCCGGGTCACTACATACATCCATGGTCACTACCGGAGGACCGAGGATCGAGGAGGGGAAATTAGAGAAATTAGAAAGGCCCCATGACTTCTCAATGTTCTAATCTAAACAAGCCTAAAAGCGTCAATAGATTCTCCGTGGTAATGCACTTCAGCCTCTTGTGGTCAATTTAAGTATTACAACTATAATATCTGAGGACAAAAACAGTTTTTTATTTTTGAGGATTAAAAGGACATATTCTTAAATCTTAACACATTTAAAAAAAATGTTAAAACAAAATACATAACCCCTAATAATCAAATACCAAACGTTACGTAGACTGGTCCAAGGTTTAGAGAGATATCACATTTTGAAACACACACAAGTGAGCTTAACATTCACATTTGGAGTTTTAGTAATGGTCATTTTTCTTTTTCTGTGCAAAAAAGAAGCAGTCAAAATGTAACAAAAAAAAGTAATTTATTAAATGGATATGTACAGCACATTCCTAGATCAAAAAAAGCAAATTATTAGCTCTTCATGTTGAAATTTACGTACTTTGTTTCACTTTTTCAAGAGAAATTACATATACAACAGGTGTGCCTTAATTTCCAAATGTTTTAAAACACCCCCTATTGCATCAGAGCCCTACAAACCTTGTAGAGACCTCGGGTCGGCGTAAGGATATCAGATTTAGAATGGCATTCTCACCACATTCACGCCTGTGTGCCTCCATACAAGGACAACGTAAAGACACTTAATTTAAGTAGCTACAGCTGCTTCCAGCACTGCATTTCCAACTCAAACATTATTGAAACAATAACTTCCTTAGAAAAGACCCCAAGACTGTCTTAAAAAAGAGTATCCATAAAATCTGAAGAAAAAAAAAAAAAAAGAGATTTTATATGTGTACGTCCCAGAATTTTAAATATCCAAACAGCTTTAAAAACAACAACAACCAAAAATCGTTTCTAACATTAATCTCAAAGAGAAATTAAGTAGGGACGTATTGTTTTTAATCTATCAATCAGATAACAAGGCTGCATTTACACAGATACAAAAATAATAAGAACTGTAATAACTCAAGTATCTTCATTTTTGGACAAATACTAAAATCTTCCACAATCCATCAAATCCTAACCGTTGTCTTTTATTACCATTTAAGATGTGAAAAGTACATAGAATTATAAACTACGGAAGCTCCCAAATTTACAAGAAAAGTTGTCGGATCTCTTTAAAAAATACACTAGTGGAAGCTAAAAATATATTTTTCCTCTTTTTTTGCACCTGTGTAAAATCTGCCACAATAATCTGCCACTAAATGGAGGTCCAAAAGAGCTTGAGACATCTGACAGACTGCAACATTCAAATAAAAAAGGACTCCATTTATAAAAAATGTAATTGACAAAAAAGAAAAAGCCTTACATTTTCAACAGTTGGAATCTGACTATGTGCTGCAGTGGCCGTATAATCGGAAAAACATTTTTTTTATTCCAATAGTTTATCATGTCATAATTTTGCACTCTACATTTTTACTTTGGCGCTTTACAAACCATTAATAAAAAAGTATAAAAATGCAGCAAAGCTTCAGGAGTCTGAAGGAAATAAAAGACTTGATGGGAGAGGATTACAAAACAACATTAAAACACACCGCTGATCCAAACCTCAAACAACATAAATACCCCCCCTAAAAAGTATCGTATGCAAGTAGTTTTCTCAAGACTTACATGCGGATAACTAAGTATTAGGAAGCAGGAAGTAGTTGACACTTGAGTGCAAGTCTGGAGCTTCAGTGTGCAGAGTAAATGTCCCTGAGAATCCAAAACTAAGGCAAAAGCAACTCAAGTCTGTGAATCCCCCCCGCCTCTCAGCTGTTCAGAGCAGGGTTACACTCACGTAAGGATCTCTGGGGGGGGGGCGGAGGTTATGTTTAGATTGAAGTGGGATGGGGAGGTTATGTTAGATTGAAGTGGGAATAATGTTGTTTGTGAACTACATACGACTATAAAGTAACACTTTCTTTTACACCAGGTCTATAATGTTATATAACCATACTTGTCATTATAGCATTATATAGCACTGTAGAGTTATAAGGAATTATAAATATCCATAATTTTTCTAATGATAATCAAAACACATTATAAATGATTTTATAATGACTTAAAGGTCATAACTGCTCATTCGAAGGATCATAGTGTTTTTTTTGTATTATGGATATTCATAAGTGCTTGTTACTATGATATAGTGCTATAAACAGATTCAATCCCCATACTGAAACATTATAAGTATGTTCATAGACATAGCAAGTGGGAAAAATCTTTCACATTGATGAGGTTTTGATCAGAGATGGCGAGTCAGGCTTTAAAACAGCAGCTTAAAAACACCAGGCACACTTCTCTCTCCTCACACACTTACACACCCACTCACACACACCAGCTCATCACTCGGACACTTTCGCCGCCTCAAAGTTGACTGCCAGTTTCCTGTGCTTCTTCTTGGAGGAGGAGCTGGGGGTGTGGCCTGTCGCCGGGATGTTTTGTCGAGGAGGGGTGTGTGGGACTGCTGTTGTCGTGGAGACGAGGTCTGCTACTTGGCCGACGTTAACGCCCTGGGGTTCGAACTGAGCGAGCTGATCGCCGAAGGGCTGGTTCTGGGGTTTCTGTGATTGGTTCCTGGTCACAGTGTGGGCGGCGCTGTAAAACTCCCGAGTGTCCTGGTTCTTCTTGTTGGCGGAGACTCGCTTCTTGGTCACCTGAAGTGTCAGAGGACGGTCGAGAAGCTGGGTTAAAAAGACTCTACTTTGTCTAAACGAGAACAGAAGGAAATGTGGTTGATCCGTTTTCTAACACTAGGATATAACACAATAAAGTGTTGCAGGAATGAGTCCTGAAACCTGGGAATTAGTCGGCATTTTAAAACTTTGGTTCCCTTGTCTCTAAGTAAAAAAAAAAAGTGGCAAGATGCCTGAAATAAGGTCTGTGGTTGGCAGAGGCTTAAGAGTCTTTACATGTTGTTCTACGACAAAAAATAATAGTAAATACCCCACTAATACATGACAGTAGCTTCTATGTATCACTAAACACAGGCTGCTAACAAGCGCCTGAATAAACTACTCATCATTGCGACATCATGCCGAGCATTAGCCACATTTAACTTAGCGGTGGCGACGCGTAGCCATGCGACCACGGTGTCGTTTATAGCCTAATTTAGGTTTATGAGTTCTGCAGGGTGGTGTTAATATGTGGAGAATAAACGTGGGTGTGGGAAATTCTTATTTTCTGCAATATACCAAAATTAAAAAAGGGAAAAATCCTATTTTTATGGAGGGAACCCTAACAATGCTAACGTCCAGGCTCACTTACAAAAAGACATCCTCACTGCCCCACTCTTTGGAAACACAGGGACACTGGTAATTAAAGTTAATGACCCTTCTTGTTGCAAAGCAGTATAATAGTCACAATACGAGTCTTTCTGGAGCATGTTTGTGAAGACTCCGAGAGTATTACAGCTTTTTATATCACCCACAGTAAAAATGTATTAGACAACGTAGCAACGGACGTTAAATGTTGACTACATGTTTATGTTATGCGAGCGAACCCTAACATATATCAATAGGATTTAGCAGACTCAACAGGAACCAAAACCATAGCATAAAAACAACATCATGGTACAAAGGTTAACCTACATAAACAGATTATTACAGACACAGTAAAGCTCATTCACACAGAATCAGCACAGGAATTAGAAATACAGCAACATTATTTCAACATATCTCAATCGTTTTCGTACCTGCAGCGGGACAAACTGGTTGTGTGAGCCGATGGGCATTGATGCAGGGTTCTGGGGGCGGGGGGCCCCAGGGAAGGGTCCTGGTGCTCCGAAGAACTGCTGGTTCGGGTGGTGGTGGGGGGGCAGCGGCATCCCCCAGAGGGGGCCGGGGCCGAAGCCCTGGGGAGGCAGCAGCATACCGCCTGGAGGACACGAGGACGCACATGAGATAACAGCCAGAGAAAGGGTCAAATTAATGTGTTCATATTTACGATAAAGATTTTGAATTGACTTAGCAGACCGTGACATATGGTTATTACTAGCCATTCATAAAAACAATGGAAAATAAATCAAATCATAAGTTGAATAATCAATAGGTTGATTGGAATAAAATCATCAACAGGTTATATTTCAAAAGTTTATATTCAAGAAATTAATTTTTAGTTGAATTTGAATGAAAGAAAATGCTGTTGATATCCTTCTTTCCTCACAGACTCGTCATGTAAAACTTAAGGAGAGAAGACAGACCTTGTTGGCTGAAGACGGGGTTCATGCCTAAGGGTGGGGGTCGTATCTGACCCACTCCTGGGAAGAGAGCAGGTGGGAGGGGGAAGCCCGACCCCAAAGAGTTCTACAGGAGAGGACAGAGAGAGAAGCTCTAACTGGAAATCTGAACAACACCAACGTATTCACATTTACACTCCTTTACAGTTTGGATAGCAAGTGATGCTCTAAGTAGACATAAATGACTTGTTTTTCTCTTGTATGGTAAATACCAATAAAACACAGGGTTAACCACCAAAGATGTTGAACACAGCTCAACTTAAACTTAATACATCATCTGGCTAAATGCTGCTGTGATCAAATCAAATGCACGTTCCCATTGCAATGTGTTAAACGATATGAGGAAAATAATTGCCACTGGAATAACTGGACTTCCCAGATCCTGCGAAAAATAAAATGGCTACTGCATCCAACTAACTACTGCAAGCACATTTAAACCCTTGCGTGCGTGTGTGTGTGTGCGTGCGTGTGAGATGTACCAGTCTCTGGAGGGCAAAGAAGGCAGCTTTTTCCTTGGCATCATTTTCTGATTGGCACTGGGGACCGTGAACCATGAGCCCATTGGACAGCTTCACCTGACACACTACAGTCTGGGGAGAGAGGACAAAGTTAGTGCAACACAAACAGACACACTCCTGTAGACTAGGGGGCCATATATCTGCAGGTATTACGCTTTGATATTTAGCAAAACAACAGACCAAATGAGAATACAGAAACATTACTACTAGGTGTCACACTTCACTTAGCAGCCACTCCCTGATGGAACATAGTGAGTCAAAGAGAACGCACATTGTTTTTAGCTCAGCAGTTTAAAGCTTTCATCTTGAATTCAAATCCTAAATGTTACCTATTGGTGCAGTTTAATCTGTCTTTGAGTATGTTTCGTCAGATAAAATATAATAAAATGACATTTCCAGTAAACTAACAAAGTGCACAGCTCCCTCTCGTGACGATGCCAGCTCCTTCTGGAGTTAATTGGTGAAGGTGAAGGTGAAGGTGCGTAATATGCAGTAAAGCATGAGACCAAAAACATTCAAACATGAATTCCATGTATGTTTCAAAGCGCCGAGTTACCTGTCTGTTGCTTATGAAGCTGAAATCGGGCGGGGCCATCCCTAACCCCACACAAATGCACGCCAGCTCCGACACCTTACTGTTCAGAACGGCGTTGGAGAGATTTGGAGGGGGTAAAACAGGGCCGTCACCGTGGGGGGAGGTCATATTGGCTGCTGGAGGGAGTGAACATTGGATGAAAAGGAAAAAACACATTTAAAAAAGGTCAATAAAGGACAAAGTGGCACAAAGACCCTGATAGTGTGATGTGACCCTGCCTTTGTTAGCCCGACATGCCTACATATGTATACACGTATGCACATACTGTTGGAGCCTCTAAGGAGAGAAATGTGTATACGACTGTATAGATGTGTGTGAAAGTACGTATTGTATGTATGTATATTATGTATAATATTTTCTACAACATAGTAAGCATTTATTTTGACCCAGGATGACCCTGTCTGCTCTCATATTGTTTGTCTGTTCATTATTGTAACAAAAACGAAAACAAATCTTTAAAGAAAAACCTCTGGGTCTATAAATGTGCTCGCAGAACATTTGCGTGTGGTGTAGCGACGGTTTTGTACCCAGTTTCTTGTTGGACCGTCTCCTGTTCTGCTGCTGGCCCCCGGCGGCCTCCTGAGGGGGGGGACTTCCTGTTCCAGCGCCGTCAATCTTCAGCATCTCCTTCAGCATCAGGGTTCCCTTCTGCAACAAGAGAGAACACACAGACCCAGTTTAGTTATCCTGAGCTGTCCAAGCAAAGAATGGCTGGATTGAAATAAAAGAAAGGAACACAATACATATCAAAAATGATTAAGACTATTCCAATCTAAAAATAATGATGGAAACAACTTATGGCCACATACGTTTTAAAAGGGTATAAAAGAAAGATCTCATCAAGTCTCCAACCAAAATACTAAATATTTAAACCAAACCTTTTTCAGCAACACTCACCATTGCAAAGGACTGAGGGGACAGCGGGCCATCTGATTGGCAGGTGGTTACTTGTTGGGGAGCAGGCGGCGGTGGAGTTTGCTGGTTGCCCTTGGAGATCTGCAGGCTGGCTATCAGGTCCTCGAACTCAGTGGTAGACTAAGCGAGAGGAATATGTAAGGACATGCCAGGCTTTGTCTCTTACAGCTCAAAAATATAATAGATAGAAAATGGGAAAAGGAGATTAAAAGTGTGTGTGTTCGTGCATGTACCTTATTGGCTGTGTTCTGGGGGGGGAAAAGGGAGTTGACGTCTTCATTTTTCTTCAACAGTCTGATGCAACCAACTGGGGCCTGTAAAGTACACATATTTAAACCACATATTCACAAAAGTATAAATATAGCAACAAAAAAGCAATGAGAATAACGGTTTACAAATAAATAAACATAACCATCTGTTGATCTTTCCCTTGACCCAAAGCTTCCTTTATATGTTATTATTACTGATATATTCTTCCACATGTCCCTGCTCAGATAAATAAACTGCTTTAAGGATCATTTGTACAAATGCTGCACTCCTGCTGATGACCCGGTATCTTGCAGTGTTGCATGCTGGGAGAACATGCATGTGTGTTCAGAGCATGTGTGTACTTACAGCTTTGTTAGCGTGCTGGTTCTTCCCCTGTTGGTTAAGTCCTTCCTAGAGTTGGAAACAGACAATGTTGTTTTTATTAGTCAAAATTCTCGCTTTAAGATACCGTAAGTTCAATATTAGTCTGTTTCAAAGACTTCTCATACCATACATACTTTGCCATGTATTAGCTCCGTTGTATTTTGCATGTGAAACTGCAACTCTTGAATATGTTTTGGCATCTTAAGTATCAACATCTTTTTTCATTTTCGTATTAGAGAGCTGTGCCTTACCCTATGCCACTATGAATCTCTAAACTCATATGGAAACTTTAGTGTAAAATAACGTACAAAGGGTTGAAGAGCCGCCGGCCCCAAGGTGCCACACTAGACTTTTCCAATCAATGACATTTTAAAAAGCGCCCAAACACACACTTTCCCACACAGACGTACATTGTGCCAGTGAGCAGGAGGTTGGAGAGGAGGGCCAGCAGAGTTCTGCAGAGACTGCCACACATTGTTGTACTCCTGAAGAAGAAGAAGAGAGACAGACACAAAGATGCAAAATGTGTAAGAATTCAAGATGCGAGTGCACCGGCTGAAAGAGAGCACATCGGCTACAGTTTGGGTTGAACTCGTGATGCATCGATTTTAGCGTCTTTGCATCGGTAAAAAAACGATTCATTCATATAAAATCCCCTCATCCTGTCAGCACTCAGCAGAGACGATCTTTGATCTCTGCTTCGCACTACGGAGGCCGAGAGTCTCAGTTATCAACACACACGGAAGTTGAGGAGAAAGAGAAACACAGCGCAACGAAAAATACCTACAAATCAAACGTTTGGCAACACTTAGGATTTTTCAAGAAAGACGGTCAACTTGAAACATCGCTCGCAAATTGTTAACGATGCCGAGCCACTTTAAAGTACACAAGTAGTTCGAGGAACTTAGCGACGCACATAAAGAGGCGACATGGGGTCTGCGTCTGAAAAGAGAAACCTGAAAGTTAGACATATGAGTTAAATCACTCAGTGAGGTGTTCGGTCAGAGAGAGTGGTGTTTAGTTTACAGCAGCCTGTGACGGCCAATAATAATTTAAATGTCTTCCTTACTGTAAGCAGTTATGAAATACCTGTTTGTGAAAGGTTATTTGTATTCTTTATTG